CAGTAGCTGATTCAGAAGCGCCAGATATTCATAGCAAAGTCAGAATTACCTCTTCTCCTAGGTTCACGAAACGGTCGTTCATAAAATGCATTGCTGTTCTGTTGTAAGTCATCTTACAGATTCCTAAATGCATCTACTTTCGGAAGGCCAAATAAAGTGCTTTTGCTTTTGCCTAGAAACACACAGCATCTCCCTGACATGGCTGCATCAACACTAACTGCGGTTACTGAAACCACGCCTTCTTTCTTTGCGTGCACATTTGGGCAGCATTATGCAAATATTTCCACATAGTGAGGTAGATATGTGGGGGCGTGTTAGAACGAGCCGTTTTAGGGGGGTGTGGCAGAGTCTTAACTTTGATAAAGAATATCTCTTTGGTTTTGAGACTTTAGTCTTTGCAACTTCAGGGATCTTATCTATGCACAATCAGCTTGTAACACTCCAAAGAGAAAGGAAAACTTGAAATCGCATCATATGACCCCTTTAAAGAAATTCAAGCAATAACTACTATTTTGTTCCACAGAGGTGTATTATGAATGTTACTTTATGTTGACTTAATTGATTCTTACACTTTTTAAGTTATTTTTGGTTGTGTGATATCAGGTTTGGCACCACTAAAATTTTTATGTTGGCAAGCCTTCAGAGAACGTTGTACTGCTCTCATTGCTGTATATTTGATGAGTTTTTCTTGCTCATCAAGGTGCTGTAGCTGACTAAGCTCTGTGCTAAATCACTGCCAGCCGCAGTTACATCAGCATTTCTGTGCTGAGTCTCTGGCTCTGCTGCTCAGAAACTGTATATGTGGGCAAGGCCTGACAGTGATTGACGGTGTATTGATCATGGTTGAGATGGAAGGTGACAGAGAAAGATAAAAGGGATGCTGTCGACAGCTTTCCAGGAAAGAAACACTTTGTGCTGATGGAAGAACAGAACACAGAGCCTGAAAGAGTCTTGTGCTATGGCTTTAGACCGGCATTTTTTTTTAATTATTATTGTGTGTGTGTTTGTAAAGGTTGGCAGGAACCCTGAGTTGTGTACACAGATTTTTGAAGATGGTTGCCGTTCAGTAACCATATTACACAGCCATATCTTGACCCACTAATCACATTACGGTCATTTGCCTGCCCTGCAGATGAGCTAGGCAATTTCTTACATATGCATTGCATAACACAATCTGATTTTGAACTTTGTTGGGAACATGCCAGTATGAGACTTTGAAGAGGGGGGCCGCATGGAACAGGGTGTTAGGTGAGACCCCTGTTGCATTTGCAGGGGCTCAAATGGGGTCTTATTTAGCTAAAGCTGCCCAGGACTTTCCATTGGGGCTGGGTGGAAACTTTCTGATAATCTTAAAGCCTGGAGTTTGAAATGTCTGTTGTTGAAATCCTAAACTGTGTCCCAAATCACCACCTATATAGTGCACTATTTTCAGAGTAGTAGTAACTGATTATATAGATTATGTAATCGGATTTCCAAAAAAAACAAAAAAGTACTTGTAATTAGATTATATTAAATTTTAAAATTGATTAAATGCATATTATTCACACAGAAATGATTGATAATTCAAATGATTTATAATTAGTTTATTTTGCCTAATTCTTTCCTTTTCTGAATGCCAGCTTGGGAAACCTTGATGTGATGTAATGTTTAATGCAGTTCATGTAGTTGATGATAAATAATGGATTATATTTTCTTTTTGTTTTTATATTAATATGGTACAAAATAATCCTACTTAAATATATATGATGAACAAGTTAGGTCTAAAAGTAATCAAACAATATATTACATAAAATGTGTAATCTAATAGACTACATTACTAACTACAAACTTTATGTAATGTGTAATCAGTAACAGACTGCAATTTGTAATTAATCTACCCAGCACTGACTATTTGAGGGGACAGCCATTTGTAGTGGTGTGGAAAACCATAGTGGACATAATTGAGTGCATTTATTCAATCCCATAATGCACCTCAATCACAAGTGTACAACCGATGTACACTGAACAACGAATAAAGAATTTTATGAGTGTTGCGCCAAATTAATTCCCACGTCTCACAAAAAGATGTCTGAAGCAATTCCAACACACTCAAGTGTCCAAATTTGCTCGTTTTCTTTCACTCATTCTGTGGACTCATGGAGTGAATGAGCAAAGAAATAGTGTATGGGGGCAATTTTGGAAACAGCTCTGTAGACTGCGATTAAATTAAATAGGAAAAAGGCAGCTGCCATATTGTAAGTATGATGATGGATTATACCAATGCAGGTTTAGTGGTGTCATATTTCGGGTGCTGGTGTAGGACGGAGGACAGGGGGCCTCACAGGCAGGAAACATAGAGGACCCAGCTGTCACCCGGGGCCCCAGTGAAAATCCCTGACCTACGGAGGGAATGGCAAACATGCAAGGTGCAGCAGAATGGCAGGGAATGAACAACATACACAAACACATATAAACTAGAAATAAATGGACAGATAGTAGCCAGGAACAAAGGGCCAATTCACAAGAACACAGATAAGTGTTTATCAATTAAAAATTTGGAGTCTAAAATAGAATCAACTAGCTAAATTTTACTGACAAGGTCAATAAATGCTATATAGTGCAGTGATGACGTATTTTTTTAGGCCAACCTGGAAGTTAGCGTTACCATGGTTGCCTCGACAAAGAGTTGGTTTTTGGATTATTGCAGGTAATAAGCCAATATGAATTTCACTGATTGACCTCTTGCCTCAATACATAGAACACGCATGTCAAAGCTGCAGGTTTACAGTGTTGCAGGAAAATATATTTTCATATTTTGAATTTATATTTTGTTAAAGTTGCATTATTTATTAAAAATAGAAGCCCTAGACATGCGTTATAGTGCCCGTGCTCTAATAGTGTTACCACAGCTTTAGGGTAGGTTTATGTGACAATGATGCAGCGACAACAACAACAATATTCATTGCTTCATCCAGTAAGCAGGCATTGAATCATTTCCTCAAATCATTTAACGAATCTTGATTCATTTAGGATCGAAAAACAATTAAGGGTTCATTCACAGAAAACGCATTTTCGCCTTTAAAAACACAAAACGCAAGGTCTAGAGATGCATTTTTTAAAAGATGATTTTTTTTTTTTTTAATGTTAAATGTCATGTGCAAGAGTTTGCAAAAGGGCGCCGAGACCTTAGCTCAACAGCTAAATATGTCAGTCTAATACACTGAAAAGCAGCACAGTGGAATGCAAAAACCACGTTTTGTGTGAACTCAATATTAACTGAACCTGTTGTACAAAAGCTTGTGTGATTTTGCTTAATCAAATATAGTTTGTTTGGTTGGCTGAAATCCAATAAACTTATTAGACCTCCCCTTCCAAGAAGCTTGCAGTCAGGTCACTGGAAAACTCTGTTCATGGGCCAAGAAGTTTTTGACAGAGTGCTGGGGGTGTTGCAAGAAGTTAATTTGGCATACAAGTGCCAATTCCACCGTGCTGCCTGCCCAAGACGTTCTCCCGAATGTATTCCCATCATCCCCTGGAAATGGATGGACCAACGTTGCATAGGTAAAGTGTTTCCATTGAGTACAGGATGCAATATAGCTCCTCTCAGAACTGACATGACGCCCATTTAATAAATACTATATTCAACTGTAGTAGTATATTTAGTCACTACAGATTAGTAATGTACAATACATTCTCAAAACAGTAAAAAAAAAAAAAAACACCCTCT